GAGAAAGCCCTGCACGCATTAACAAGAAACTTCTCCTGCAGGAACCTTCTGATTCAATAGCTACCTAAAACAGTGCTCATTTACAGCAAAAAATAAAGAGCAGAAAACAGAAAAATGTCCTCTGATGTTCCAATCACAGATAGAGATTCCAGTGTCAGTAGAATCAGAGCTAACCAGGGGGGTCAGCACCAGACCTGCAATGAAAGCACTCATCCAAATCTCTGCTAAAACAACAAAACCTGAGCTGCCCATCTGAACAGAGGGGTGAAGCACAGCTACACCTGCCCAGCCTGGTGGGCATGCCAAGGTCTATCAGCTCACACTGCACACAGACCTTGATTCCCTAGGCAACTCAGGAGGAACTCAAGTTCATTACGTCTTCACATTGCATTTTCAATCTATGAATCGTACTCCTCACTGCTGCAACTCTTGCAGCAAGAAACACAGCACCCAGAAGTAGTTAAAAAAAAAATAATAATAAATAAAAAAAAAAAAAAAAGGAAATAAGGTTTTGTTTGGTTGCTTTCGGGTGGGATTCGTTTTGAAGCCTCACGCCCAGCTGTGCCATCACGATGTACTGACTCAGCACTGCCCTTTATTCTACAGAGAACCACGATTCCAGCCTCAACTCTGCCACACACTAACTGCACATCACAAGATATATAGATACACTTGTCCAGTATCACAGCATTTAAATTTGAGCAGTCCAGGCCCCTTACAGACGTTCAAAGTGAAATACATGTTGCGGGAGGAGAATTACCGCTGTACTTCAAACCCTCATGGTTTATTAGGTCAGCATAATGGATGTATTAATTTACAGCCTTTTTTTTTTCCCCTGGTGTAGGAGCTATTAATATTCTACATATATTTACTTCTGCAGATGGTGGTTTAATCAATACAGTACCTTGGGCAACACGAAAGCAATGTAAGGACTGTCAGCCCCAGGGAGCTGATGCTTATGGCAGGGCTCAGCCTCTTACCACAGCCTTGCAGAACTACCTAGAAGGCGACAGAGTCAGCTGAGGGAAGAGAAGAAAACACAAAGTCTGCACCTGCAAAGCTAAACCAGCCCACTAGCACTAGGGAAAGCAGAGAGATTATAAGACTCAGATTGGCCTAAATCCTAAAGCCTGTGGAAGAGCTCTGCTGAGCCCATAAAGATTCTGAACCTGGGGACTCAGTTCTCTGGGGGGGTGGGAAAGAAAAGAACAAGCTGCTGCTGAGACCGCTAAGGGCGCACCAGCACACAGCAGTGGCAGCACGAGCTGCACCTGGCTCAGGCTCGCCTCTTGCTGGCTGACACCCAGAGCAAACATTGCGGCCCAGGTCACGGCCTCTGGTGTGCTTGAGGCGTCTGTGCCGATGATCACAAGTCTCCTCTGCAGCGTCAGACACAAAAGGAGGACATTTCATACAATCAGATTAAAAGAGATGAGAAAACTCCATTCTCACCCACACCAACTTCTAAACTCGCTCACTGCACTAAGATCATAGGAGAGGTTTCCAATTCACAGCAGCCTATGCAAGAGCACTATTAAGCCCAGAGATTAGATGCTTTGCTTCTTTGATAGTCATACCAAAGCTTGCTCCCCGAGCAGCTTTTGTAGAAACACTATTAAAAATGGAGAGAAAGACGGTTCAAAGAGAGGTCTCAATCCTGAAATACAGCACATCCCTCCTCTCCCCCTCCCACGCTCTTCCCTCCTTCCATAGCATTCCTCAGGGCTGCTGAAGGAGGTGCTCAGCACAGGTTTTAGACTGGGCTGCCATCTGCATGCTGAAACGTTCCCTGCTTTTGTAGTGAAGCCGCTTTTACTGTCTTAAACTTGCCTGGGAGCACACAGAAGACAGACTCACAAGCATCAGCCGGACTGAGTTTCATCTGCTCCTGCGTACCTTTACACCCCTGCAATACTCACAAAACATTTTCACTGCTCACAGTAGATCCTGTCACTCCTGCACATCAAAGGAGCGGGCAGCAGGAGAACACAGCTCCACATGCAGTGTGCCTGGAATTTCGTTCCTTGATCTCATTCATGGCCACATGCTTCCTTAACTAATACATAATGCTCAAAGCAGACAGAATTACATAAAAAAAAAAAAAAAGACAACATACCAGCTGTTACACTTCTTAGAAAACACACTTTTACTCATTCCAGAGAAGTGAGACGGAGCACTTTGCTCTGCCATCAGCAGAAGGCAAGTTGCTTTAATTGCTTCGTGCTACCTTAGAGAGATGAACACATTCCTGGTGCGAGTTTCTGTCCCTTACACAACCAGAGGCCATCCTTTACCTGTACACATTGTGCCAGGCTTGTAGGTGAGAAAATAAACATTTAGTTGACACACAAACACCGCCACCCCCTCAAGTTTGAGAACTACGAGAAACTCCCTAGAAAACAGCATTCCTTTCAGTTGCGAAACCTTGGGAACAGTGTGGTACTGTACTGAAGCAGGACAAAAATCAAATTGAAATATCTATTTTCTGTACCCTGGAATTACTCTGTCAAATAGATATCCTCATTAATTTAACAGTTATATATAGTGGTGGGAAGAGGAGTTTGGGGAAATCCCTCTTCCTGCAGCGCTTTTTTTGTAGAAGGAGGCCAGAAGGAAAAGGACCAGCCAAATATGCACACATAACTGCAGAAGTTTCTCAGATGCAGCCTCTCCCCTAACAGCACGGCATCGTGCACAGCACAGCCTCTGCCCTTCTATCCCAGGGGATCTCACCCAGGCCAAACACCAGCTGCTCAGAAAGGTGCTGGAAGAAACCCTGCCCCATAAACACAAGCAGCACGAGTCTCATTATTTGCAGCAAGGGCAAGGTCTTTCCCTTTGTTTTCCTTTCAAGGGTGTTTAAAGGAAGATTTATCCTTAGTCAGACGCCTTGAAAAGCAAATGGCCACTTGAAGTGCCTCCTTATTTTGTGATAGAGTTTAAACGCTCACTTCCAGCATTAAAGACCTTCTGACAAATAGGGGACGCACGCACTAGAAGAAGAAAGGAGAGAAGTTCCAGACAGGTCCTTAAGGCTATTTAATACTTGTTTGGGGTTTAGCATTCCTGGATACTTTCAGCTTGAGCCCGTTTGAAGCGAGAGATTACTCACAGCCCAAACGTACTGGAGATCAGGGAACGCCTATACTTCAGAATCGCTTTCAGTGCAGTGACCACGAACACAAGCGCTGAGCCGCCCCTGGGACACACGCAGGTGCAGCCCTGAGCCCCAGCCCTGCCTGCAGCCCACGGGAACCGCCGCTCCACAGGTCAGTGCTGCTCCTTCCCCACCTCCAGTCCTGCAGCACATCTCAACCCAGGACGCAGGAATAGAAAAGACCTTCTTTCCCCCCAAATACAGCACAGAAGGCAGCATTCTCTGTAGCTTCAAAGTGATAACGGTAGCACGTATCCCCCTCTCACCAAGAAACAGCTCCGTGCAGTCAGGGAACGAACTGCCCCGCATGTGCAAACAAACCAAAGCTTTTTCACGGGACCGGAGAGCCCCACCGGGATGCCTGCACTGCTCCTGTAGAGCAAAACATCTGAGGGGTGCCGGCCCGGCACGCAGCGGCCGTCCTGCCCTGCATACGTGTCCCTTCCACGGAGAGCCGGAGCCAAGAGCTGCACACACGCTCTTCAACCCTTAGCGATTTTAGTTCGCACGGAGCAGCAAGGCGCGATGCTCGGATTTCTAACGCTTTAAACCTTTCCGCTAACGTTCCTCAGCACAAACGACAGCCCGTGGCCGGCAGGCACGGCCGCACCCGCCCTCCCCTCCTGCTGCCGAGCGCAGCCTTTCGGCCCGGACCGCCACGCACCGGGAAACCCCTCCGCGCAGCTGCCCGCCCCGCAGCGCTCTGCCCCGCTCACCTCCCGCCGCCCTCCAGCTCTCTCGGCCCCTCTTCGCGCTGACTTCCCCGCGGAGCAGCGAGGCCGGGCTGCGGCACCGCTTCAGCCGGGCTACGGTTCCCGAGGCGCGGGGCTCCGGGACGCACCGGCGCTCCTCCAGCCGCGGGGCGACCGCGGACGCCCACCCGCGGCGCTGCCACACCGGGGCTTTCTTCCTCACATCACCTGCGAGCGCTGCCCGGCACGCGCGCCGTTCCGCCGCGCTGACACCGATCGCCGAACGATTCGGAACGAACCTCCTGCGAGTTCCCAGATACCGTGCAAGCAAAGGGGAGCTCCGCGGGGACCTCTGGAGCCTGGCAAGCAAGAAGGACGACCCGCGGCGAGGCCCCCGTCCGCCCGTCCCTCCCGCAGCCCACGCCAGCCCCGCGGTGCGGCCGCAGCCCGCCGCTTCTCACAGCCCGGCACGGCGCGCCCCGCGGAACGGACCCAACTTCGGGAGCTGACGCAGCGGGGCCGCCCGGAGCAGCGCCGTAACTTTGTAGAACTGCGTTCCAATATCGTCTCCCACCCGCAACTTCGCGTTCCTTGAGAAGTAGCGGGGCGGAGCGCAGCGCTCGGGCACGCGTACCGGGCTGTGCCGTGCGGGGCTGCGCCCCTCGATCCCGTCCCCCTCAGCCCCGTCCCGTGGCGGCCGCGACCCCCAACTTTTTTTTTCCCTGCAGGAAAGCAGAAACCGCCGCGGTCCGCGCGCTCACCTTTCGGCTACGTCTCCATGCCGGCGCGCCCCGTCCCACGCCGCGGGATGCGGGCGCTGCGCTGCGGCGGAGCGCCACACGCGGGCGGTGAGGGCGCGCGGCGCTGCTCTGAGCGGAGCGGGACGGCGCTGCCCGCGCGCCCACGGCTCCGCACCCGGCAGGTGCGCCCGCCCCGCGCCGCGAGAGTCGCAGCGCCACCTGGCGGCCGCACGCAGACACGACCGCGGGAGCAGCGGCAGCGGGAACCGCACCCGGCCGGACCCCGGAGCGGCAGGAACGGGCAGCCGGCAGCGCGGCAACCGGCAATGTCAGAGCCGGGAAACCGCTCCCCTCTGCGCACAGGGCTGCGCCATGCATGCAGGGCTATGCTAGGAGACGTCGTCTTTTTACCTGTAACGCAAACGGCGGCGTTTTTAGGCGCTCCTCCGCCTGTAGCCATCCTCTTGGACTCGAGGAGGAGTTCGGGACAACGCACCCGCTGTGTGCGCTCTGAGAATCGAGGCCCTTCCCACCGCTGGGTGTCCTGACGCACAGCAGAAGAGCAAAACGACGGCAGCGCAGATCGATAAAGCCGCCCCGTCTCTGTGCCTGGTCGCAGCTTTTCGCCGACGAGGAACTGGCAGGATGTGGGTGCAGCCCTCGCTTCCCCCGGCTCACACCTCTCCCGGCTCCTGCGCTACTCCTGCCGGGACTGCAGCATCAAACGCTGTCAAATTGTTCATCAATTTGCCTACTCGAGTCGCTTTGTAGCTGAATTATGAGATGAAAGCCTTGAAATAAAACATCCCACGGACTTTGAATTACACTTACGCGGAGTTGTATTTCACAACACCATTGATTTGAAATGAACAGATAAAGCAGTATCAGCAGACATACTTCAGCCCTTATAGTAAGTCAAAAAAAGGTGATTATCATGCTACACTATGAGAACGTAGACATTATTCATAAAAATGAGGTGGGTATGCCACAGACCGATTCTGTACAAAGCTTATTTGTTCCCCTTGCTCTGGTCACACCTCATGCACCATCACAGTAACGAGGCCCATCTGGCCTTCATCTGTGCCATTATTTCCTTACAATGTGTTATGAAGCAGTGAAGGGACCCCAGCTGATGTTGCAGGCGCTCTGCGTGTTGCAAGCACAGAGAAAGAGCAGAGGAGAATGCAGCTGACACACTGATAAAAGCAAGGGAGAGAGATTTCTCAGTCATTGCTGTCCGTATCGGCAAGAGATGCCCATGGAGATGGATTAACACGGGTGGTATCAAGCAGTGAGTCTGGGTGAGCCAGGCACTCACTGCATCACCTCAAACCCACTGTGCTCCCACCTGTCGGTTCATTAGATCTCTCCACTCCTTCCACTAAACCAGATTATCCTGTGATGTGTTTCCAGAGTTTGGATCCAATGTCACAGAATTCAGAAGAAAAGACTCTTTCCCACAGACTTCAGTTAGGTTTGGAAGAGGCCCCAGACGCACTTTCTTGATCTAATTTAAATCACTGTATGCACGGATTCCCCCAGATCGCTCACACTCAGCAGTGCCCCAGCACTCCTCTGGCTGCCACCAGCAGCAGTTCTCTCCCAGCACTCATTTCTCACCCACCAGGGGTTGATGGCTCTGCCCACTGATCTCCCTGCTGCAGCATCCTGCCTCAGTCACACCAGTGGTTTAACTTCTGCTATTTAAAGCCAAACACAGAGCTCACAATGAGAAGCTTGTTTTCCAGAGCTGGAGAGCAGGGCGATTTGGGGATTTGACATTGCCCCAAAAAGCATCAGCAGGGTGAGCAGGAGACCCCCAGTCCTGCTGTTAGGCTCTGCTTCTGCATCTGTGTGATTCTGACATGTTTCTTGCCTGAATAGGAAGATGACAGGGTGAGAGAATTTATGGCTGCACAAAGTCCCATTAATTGACTTTGTGTCTTCTGTCAGCACAGACTGCGGTCTGATCTTTGGGAGCTACAGCCATGCATGGTCGCCCAGTGTGTGCTCACACTGCTGCATAGAACAGACCATGCCACCGTGCAATGGCCACAGTCCAAGTTCACCCCTACAAAAGCACCACTACCCTTCCCCAGCAATTCCCCAGCATTTGGGCAGTGACGCCAAGCTGATGGGTGACCCCACTGCAGTCAGGCCACACAATCAGCCCTTCCAAGTGCAGGTGACAGGGACAGACCCTTAGGGTACAGACACTCACCCTGTGCCCTGCCCACCTGTGCTGCTGCCCAGGGCTGCTATGCCAGCAGCATCCACGTGGCTGGAGCAGAGAGGCGGAAGCACTGCTGCGATGGATGCGAGATGCTGAGGCTGCAACAGCAGATCACGGGAAGGAGCTCAGCACAGAGAGACTTGGCAACGCTGCTTTTCCCTGGGATAAAAGCCAAAGCCAAAGCAAGCTTGTTGTGAGAGGAACGAGGGGGGCATCAGTGGGTGGATGAGACCGGATGAAGGATTCAGTGCAGAGGGTGTAAACAGACAAGGGGAGAACCCTGCCTGGCTGTGGCAACACGGTTCTGATCACTGCTTGTCAGGAGATAAAAACAGGGCTGTGCTGTAACATTTCCAGTTCAGCTCTGCTGAGAATGAGGTTTAATAGGGTGCCAATTCCCTGTGGTTGGAGGGACTCGCCCAGTAACGTCACTGCCGCTGTCTGAAGTCAGACACAGTATAAAGCAGCAGTAAATGCTGCTTCAAAACTTCCAAAATCATTTTGCATCTGACATTCTTCCTGCGTTATTCCAAGAGAAAGATAACCGCAAGGTAGTCTTCCACATAGTAATCATATTTCATACCAACAATACTCACAAGTAGTTAAGTATGGAATAGGATAACTTTCCTGCTTTTATGCTTGAAAGCTGAAGATGAGATTATGAAGCACTTCGCGTGTAAGAGGAGTAACTGCTTTGTGTAAGTATATGGATTAGAAAATAAGAATTCCCTTCTCCAAAGAATAACGTGACAGGTTTACAGCACAGGTAACATCTTCATGCAGCAGGCACGGCATGATGTAGTCAGAGCATACTGGCTATCCACCCGCCTCTCTTGACCGGCCAACAGCAGAAATAGAAGCACTGCCTGGGATTAATTAAGATCAGACAAAGCCTAACTTTGCCTTAATCCAGCCAGCAGCCAAGAAGCTTGTTAGTAGAACTGCTCAGATGGAGCTTTTTTTTCATGTGCAGAAGAGTTTGTTGAGCGGGAGAGCAAAATCCACCAACAGACAGTGGAAATGCTTTCATTGCCCGTCGGGAATATCTCAGACAAGACAAAGACAAATGCCTCCTTTGTCTGTTTCACTTTCACTTTGCAGGGAGAACCAATAATCAATTAGGAAAAAGTGGGAGAGGAGTAGAAATAATTACCACGCGGTGACATGCAAACTCTCTTTGCAGCCCTCCAGGCTGGACGCAGCCACACAGGCAATCAGTGAGCAGCAAGAACACCCTACAGCAGAGAGAAGCCCTCCATCAGTCCCCCGCTCCTCCTGTTGTCATCCCCTCTCAGCTGTGAGATAAAAACAGAGATAAAAAGCAGAATGCAAGTTGTGCTCTTTCTAACCTCCTGTGGGACTTCGGGATGCTCATCAGCACTGCATTCACTTGTATTCCACAGATCATTCTTCTTTGGCAGCATCTTATTGTAATTGCAGAAATCCCACTGCAATACAGAGTTTGGCAAACTCATCTCAGAGCAACTCATTTGGTGCAAGCTTAGATTATATTTTAACTTCAATGATAAGAAATTACTGAGAAGATGACAAGCACAGTTAGTTTTAGATGCCACAGGCTGAGGAAGAAGAGGTAAGTTACCTACGACGATCTCATCATATTTTGCAACTTTTTCCTCATAAAATGCAAATTTCTGCAAGTGGATGGTTTGAAAATCCTCATTTAAAAAATAAAAAGGAAATAAAACCTAGAAATCAACAAGTACTGGTGCTGAGCTTTATGTTTTTCTATTACATATTTTCTTTCCCATCTCCTTTTTCTTTTTTTTTTTGCTGGTGCTTCTAGAAAAGAAGAAATTAAGACGGCGCTTTGTTTCCTTTTCTGTGTTTGCAGCAAATAAAAGTTTTAAATCGGGCCATAAAAATCTTCCCCTTTTGCAGTTCTGTTCTGCTCAGATTATCACATCTAAGGCCACAGAACAGAGCAAATCATAGCAATGAAGAGAAGGGGTATAACAAATGGACTGATGGCAAAAAAACAAATTACTTCTCTGGACAGAAGCTCTGTATTTGGGGTAGCTTAGATTCAGTTGAACAATGGATTTTCCAGGTCAGTCGGCAAAAGGAAAAGAAAAATGTTTCAGATCAAAATGAAATGGAGTTTCAGAGCAGGGGAGGAACGTGGTGAAAATAACCATAATCAACCTCCAGCCTTGTTTACGTCTGCATTCAAGGGTAGAGAAATCTTACATCGGGCCTAACTGCCCGCGTCAGACCATAAGGAAGCATCTCCTTCTCAAGTTGACCAGCACCATTACTGATATGTAAAGTTCAAGGTTAAATGGTATATGATAGTCCGAGTCTCTGATGCTTCCCAAAAAGATAACTGGCCTTCAAATGAAGCCAGAGCACAGGGCTAGCCTGCCATGCAGGGGAGTAGCAGCAAACAAAGCAAAAGCATGCCAAAGTCATTTTTCCATTCTTACCTTTAATACATGGCAATAAACACATTTGTGTTTATTATCAAGACATTTGTGTTCAAGCTTTTTCATCCTCTGCTTCATCCATGCAGCTATTCTAAGGGCACGAATTCCCCTCTCCCAGGACATCTGTGAAGAGAAGCATTTATGGATTCAAAGACTGCACGGTGGCTTTAGAACCAGCACTTTGGAGTGCTGTTTTGTTCCAATCTGCCTAAGCCAGTCCTGCCCTCCAAGCTGTCAGTGAGTTCATTTCCTCAACAGCAATGAATGTAACCAAAGACAAAAACACAAAACGAGTCAGTGAAACTGGAGCTAATGACTTCAAAACACCTCTGATTGCCAGCGCTTCTGGCTTGTGATAACATGGTAATAGTCTAAAATTGGCTTCAATTTCTCTAGGAAATGGCTCGGTGTGTTTCAGACGTGAAGGTTTCTCACCTATGCAGAAAATGCCAGTACTTGTAAATATCAAATGCAGTAGCGCTACACCCTGCATTAATGGGAACAGAACATCCACGCTGACACCCCTTGATTAATTCCTCTGTTGAGTATTAATATTCCCTGGCAGAAAGCAGGTGGAGGCCAAGTGCGGAGCTACGTCTGTGACACACAGGCGCAGATGGCCGTGCTCTTCAGCCTCCACCTCCCTCTGATGGCCACGGAGCTGCTCCGCCAGACTGCTCGCAGCCACAGGCATCTTTCTTAGCTCTAAAATATAGAAGTCACTATTTGGAAATCGCTGAACAGCAGCAGTTGCCTGAGCTGAGCAGACATATGTCAGTTGTCCTGGAATTTAAGTAACCAGAGCTTTGCAGCATGCACATTGCAGGCAGCCTTAGCTCAAGCAGCAGAACCATGGCACTGACTCCAGGCACCCCGTATAACGTGAAGTAATACCCTCTGCAGTGCAAATTCCATGTCCCAAAACTTCCTGAGGAGGGAATGCATCCCAGGAGTCAGGAAAAGGGGTGGAGAAAACAGGGAGCTCTTTGCTGAGCTGGGGAACAACATGAGGAGAAGTCAAAACAGTTGCCTAAAATGGTGGTAACAAATGTGACAAAAACAGTGGAACGCGGAGCACAGTCTGCATCCTGGGGAAAAATGCCAGTCAGCATCTCCTGTGACCAGGAGAGGGGGAGCAGATGCATACTGGGTGTAAAAGTGTTGGGAGGATGCCAGTGGTCAGCATATCAGAGAGCCCTGGGCTCATTAGGAGCCTGCAGGCGCTGCCCCAACACCCCACACCATGCAACGAACCCAGCAACACATCTCTGCAGGGCTGCAGTTGCAGCCAGGCACTGAGCTCTGCAAACACTGCATCAAACATGAGAGTGTCTGAGGGCAGGTGGGAACAGGGGCAGGAAAAGGAAGCACCGTAATTTAGACATGCTGTGAGAAAGACTCCTTTTAAAGACTGCTGCAGCACCACATTCAATAGCAGCAGCCTGACTTAAAAGCAACAGACGATTGACAGCTTTCTGAAATATATTTCTAGTCCAATTTGCTTCCTAAATCCTCGCTTCAAATCCCTGGACAAGGTGCCCAAGAATGGCAATGCCGTGTCTGTTGGGGGTACCTCGGAGGTCACTGTCATTTCTCCATTTCTGAGAGAGGAACTGTGACAGGGCCACGGTCTCTGCAGAGGTCTGAGGGCACTGACTCATGGCCTTCCCTGGAACCATCAGCACCAGGAGAAATATTGGAAATAACACAGCGCAGTGAAAAGGGAAGACGATGAGTAAGCAAACAGCAGTGACAGTTCCACTGCTCCCCTCCCACACCTTGCCATTCCTCTACCTTATTGTCACTGCAAATCCATCACTACTCAGACAGCAAAAGTAATCCACTAAGGGCAGCAAACACGATATCTGAAGTTCCCAAAATTTCTCAGATCAAGGTTTATTAAAAGTAAAAATTGTAGAGTAAGAACGTTGCTGAATCAACGTCCCAGGCACTCAGTCAGACTGAATTATGTCTCTGTCCTTAAAATATACGCTGGATAACAGTTTTAAATGGCCTCTGTAAAAGCCACTGTGTGTGCCTTGACATTAAGTCTACAGGAAAGTACCTACCTTCAGGATTTTCCCCATTTATAGGTCTTTTGTTCTGCTTCAAACTAATCAAAGTAGCTGCTCCTGGATGTAAAATGGAAAAAAAGAAAAAAGCTAATACATGATTTACTGCCAGCCGCCCAGTGAGCAAAAGGGCACACACCCATCACTGCAGGTAGGCAACTGCAAGAGGAAGAAGAATGATTCAGAGCAGCAAAGGGATGCAGGGTGTAAGCTGGGCAGGGAGCTGCATGAGATGGCTCATGGCTGCGAGTATGTGCAAGGCCAGCCCGACACCAGGGAGGTTGTCAGAGGATTGCAATGAGACTACAGTGTACTCACATACAGGAGATGCCATTAGCTTTGAAGAACCACTTATTTATCCCTTTCAGCAAAGCGGTGGGCCCTGATCTCAGAAAGCACACAGATACGTGCTCAGCTGCTTCTGTTGGCAGATCAGACAGAGCACTTGGTCCCAGCTCTGCCTGGGGGCACCAAGGTCTCCTACACAGGCAGGACTCCTCTTTACACCCAGACAGGGTGGACTCTGAGCCCACAGTAAAGAAAAGCACCCTGCACAGTTTTTATCTGCTACTGCACTGCTGACAACAGGGCAGAATGCTGACAGAAGTTGGCAACAGTCAGGTCTATTAATTTCTAGCGCCTCACAGTAGGTTCACTTATTTCTTCCCACAGGATGCAGATCCTCCTGTGCACTGGGAATCACCTTGTTTCTGCTGCAATTGCTGCTCCTGCCATCACCACTCACACCACAGATGATAATAGGTAGTGCAAATTTTCCCTTCTTACCTTTCGAAGGGAACCTGCGTTTTCTATGTGTCCCTTGTGGACTGCTGCCCTTGGGGCTCTTTGTTCAGCCTGGCTGCAACACAAGAGCTTCAAAAATCAGCACAGGTTTTTTCTGATTCTAAAGGTTTTACTTACAATTGCCCCAAGACTTTGACCAGAGCTCACGTTTCACTGATCAGTTTCCTTACGAATTTCTCCACTTACCGGCTATTCTGCACACCTACAGCACAGCCTGTTCCCTCTCCTTCCTTCTCATTTTTGGGCAGGCAGAAAACAGTTTGCTTTTGCCTGTAACACAAAGATCTCTTCAATTTTACTGCTAAGAAGTTTCATTCCTGGCAGATTGTTGGCTAAGCCCAACAGCTGACCACTTGTCCACTTGCAGTATGCAGTCATTGCAGAGGCAGGCCTCTTCTGAATGAAGTTGCCTTTGGGGACCACAGAGGTGCTTCGGCAAATAACAGCACCTCTGGGCCTTACTGTGCTGCTGTGGGGCAGGAGTAACTATTCTGTTAGCAGCTGCACCTCTGGCATTTATGAAAGTGAAGATTCAAGCCACTGGGACAGCAATGAGAGAAGCGGGAAAAATGAAATCTGCCTATAGAAGAGCACCCAGGAGCCACAACAGGGCAGCTGTGAGCTCAGAGGATGGAACTGCTGAAGCACCCTTTCACATTGCCCAGGAACAGCACCGCAGATTCACATGCATTTGCTTTCCAGTCCATCCTCCTGCAGTAAGCCTAGAGGACAAGCTAGGAGCTCAGCCTCCTGAGAGAACATAGCTTTGGCCCCATGCATGTCATCTCATGTTTTTCAGTAGGAAATTTATCTTGCACATATTTAATTAATGGAAACAGGGATAAACAAGCAGATTGCTTACTTCAATTATGTGCACAGCGCCTGCAGGGTTACCATTTAAAAATCACAAAGAAAGTAAACACTCAAAATGGGTAGAAAGCTGCAAAGAGGAATATACAATCCGCAGCTTACCTTGATGATGACTAACAACATCTCTGCACTGAGAATGAGGCTATACTTAGCAAATGAGTATAATTCAAAATTTTTCAGCCATCTGTAAATAACACTTACCTGGAGCAGCTTTACATAATTAAATGACTCACTTATTAGTGTTGTATAGACCCATCTGCATAGAGAAAACAAAGGCAGGGAAAGAAAGAATCAGAAGCTCTCCATCATTTATTTAAATTTCTCCCAAAGGCAATTTCTCCAAAAATTCCCAAATTCCATGAAGTCAAACATCTGCTTTCTTCACAGCATAACACGCTGAAAGCGGCATTACCTGGACAAACAACTCTCTCTCTAAGCAGCTTAGCAAGTTTGTGTAAGTGCTTGAGCTGCTGTAACGAGGCAAGAAAGTCACTCCATATCCTATTTAAAAAGGTAAATAACGTCCATGTTAGTCTGAGTCCCTCTGCACTTTGCACTGCAAAGAAAACACTTTGGTCATTTCTGTTTCCTTCTTCACTCAGTAGATGCCCATGCTCAGAGCTAAGCAGAACTGGATGCCACACTGGGCATTTCTGATTCCTCATTTATTTTCCTGAGCACCTGTGGGAATATTTTCCCCTTACAAATGGAAGAAGAAAAAAAAATTAAAAAAAAAATCATTAAAAAAAAAAAAACAGAAAACCACTGTAAATTTCTGTTCAGAGATCTCTGTGGGACTGAAGAAGTCTCGCTGCCGAAATTTAGTTGTAAAATACTCCTCTAACGCAGCTGTATTTTCCCACTCAGCATAAGCTGGAAGAATCAAGTTCCTGTCTGGTTTACACATACATTTCAGCCATTGAATCAGAAGACCCCAGAGGAACAAGATTCAGTTTCATTGGATCTTCCAAACCCTCTCTGAGAAATGGAGCTTTCTGTTGCACCACGTGCCCAGGCATTCTATGATGCTGTGCAGCTATTTGTGACCACTGTCTCAACTTTAATTGTATCAATGAAATGAAGCTAAACGAACTGCTGCCTTACAGATTATTTGCATGTAACACAGAGGTGTTACACAACTGGAAATAATTCAGTACCGAACACTACAGAGGCTAAATTCACCAGATGTGCCAATGGTTCTGACACCCACTACAAAACACATCCCAGAAGAGAGGAATAAGGTTTATGCAACATTCAGTCAGAATGTGCAGCCCTTCTTACACACTAACTGCTACTTTAGCAACAGAACAGGTATGGGACCAGACATTTCTGACCTGTGAGCAGCTCACACCAAGCTGGAGACGTCAGTGACCCTCTAGAGAGCACCAGGCTCCTGACTGCAGTTGCTTGCCACACAGGGCAGCCAGCTGTCCAGGTCTCACACTGATAGTCCATGTCACTGAACACACAAAAATCATCATCTAAAGGGACTTACAGCTGAAACAATGGTTCTGCCTAAATGAATACTGCTATCTATTGAACAGAGCCAGCACTAACGTAACTGAGACCAGAATCTGGTCCTGGGTTTATAGGAGCTGACACAAACCACATCAAGTAACTCGACCTACTTTAGTTCATTAACATGAAACTCGTCTCTATTTGCCAGGCTAGCACTAACGCTATCCAGTTCTTCCAGCTGCAGAGCCGCAGGTACCTCCCAGTGCTGTCACATAACTAGATGATATGCATGACTGAAATCCCCACAGATAAGATCAAGCGTGCAAAAGAGATGTAATCGACTTTAGAACAAAGTTAAATTTGCAGTCATTATCCTACTTGCACTAATTTCTAAAGGTAAAAAATGGCATGCATTAAATACTGCCATCACTTTCTTTCTGGTGATGAGAATCTTCTAGCAAGTCCTAGAAAGCAAAAAATAAACATCAAGTGCAGTGACTATCATAAAAGCAGAACAGCTCCTAATGCAGTACGTTTTGCTTTCAGGAAAGATTTTCCAATCAGCTCCTTCCCAACACAGGCAAGGGTGAACTTTAGCAACTCCACCATGCGAGCAGAACAAAAGGAAAGGCAGCTCCTGGCTTTTTTGTTTGTTTGTTGTTGCTTTTTTTTGCCTCAGGAATCAAAACTTCATCATCTATATCCCAAATACAAACAACCTAATACAGCTCCCATCTAATGGTGAGTATCTCCTCTGATGAAAAGAGTATGACAACTTCTACATCAGAAGAAGACTGTGAGCTTGCTTTCTCAAACTAGCTGATTCCAAGGAAAAACCTGGAAACAAAATATTTAGAATCCAGTCCTTCTGAACCTACACAGCAATTTCAGTCTTATCAACTTTTACCCAGCTTAGCACCTCTTTTTCCCATGCGTACAAAGACAAACAGTTTGGAAAGCTAGATGTTCTGCTTGGTGTAGCCTTCACTTTATGTTCTATAAGGTTTTTTGAAGGAAGATGCTTGCTTCTACACCTGAAGCAAAGCTTCCTCTTTTCTTTCTACTAACATTGCTTTTAAATGAACTGAATGGATTTAAATAACGCACCATGTAAAATCCTGACCACTTCTGTTTGTCTGTGCACCTCGTAACAACACAGCATCTTGTAAAAGCAAGGCCTACAAGGTTAAGTTTTGCACAGAGTATAAAAAGGTACCATTTGTCCACTTCAAGTTTGTCGCCTGCGAGTTTCATTCTGCATCCCTTTAGCATGCTGAAAATACACACAGTGAGGAATAACCCCACTAACCCTCTCCGTGCTGTTCATTATTACACATCCTTCTGTCATAGCCCTGTTCATTAGCCTGCTGTAAGAATTAAGCGGGGTTTATCTTGCTTAATACTGTCTCAAATGACAGTCCCCCTCTGTTTGTAGTTATTTCAGCTGACCCTTCTGGTCCCTTTCATTCTCTGCTCTAGACTTCTTTGAAAGATGATTTTGCAACTATTTCTTCAGCTACAAAGAAGCATCAATAAGAGGATCTGAAACTGCAACATGGTATGCAGGGAGGCTCCCGTGTTATTAATATTTATTTCATGCTGGTGTCTAGAGGCATCAGCTGAGGCAGAGCCCTGTGTGATAAGCTGCACAGCCATGTAGTACATGACAGTCCTGGCTCAGAGGACTGCATTGTGAAGGCTGCAGGGATCTCAGACGGAGAATTCATACTGCAAGTTTACTTGTCTAATGCAAACTCATTGCCTTTCAACTTCCCAGCAGACACAGCCTCTGTTCAGTGAGGATGTGCTGCATGTTTGATAATGAGAGCACTTACCTTTCATCCCCAGCAAAGGGAAGCGATCCCTGCTGTCCCACACAACCTTTACAGCGAAGCTGCAAACAAATCCTTCATGACACCTACACGTGGTCAAAAACAGCACTAGGCCATCACATTCCAAAGAATGATGGCACTGACAACAGCAAGGAACAGAAAAGCCTGGGGCTTCTGAGACAAATCTGCCCTCTGAGCAGACACGGAGAAGACGCTGACCCCAAACTCACATGTAGCAGTCACTTTAAAGTCTGAAGCATTTCAGAGACCAAAATCACTTCAACCCAGGCCCTGGGGAGAATGCATTAGGCATTACACAGCCTGCTTCCAGAGCACACCAGTGTTGCTGATGTAGTAAGGGAGAAAGCATTTCAGGGGCATCAAGCAGATAAATGAAATGCTTTTGAAAGTGAACAAAGTCACCTAAAATGCCTTGAACACAACCATGCAGTCTTCATTCTGCTGCTTTCTGTTCACACTAGCAGTGTACAAGTGCCAGGACAAGCTATGCCCGTACCTAGGCTCAGCCCTTTCCTCCCACCCAGCAGACAGCTGCTCTGCATTTCTCCAGCCACCTCCTCCAAAACAAGCCCTTTCCCCTGTGCTGCAGGGGCTGCCTCCTGCTCAGCTTTCTGCTCT